ATGCGGATTAGTCGTAGTGCACGCCAGCTGGCCCGGACACCCCCCGTAAATAAAAAAAAAAAAAAAAAAAAAACTTAACATAGTTTCAGAGCTTGTTTAAAATACATTATTTTCTTAAAATTTAAAATTAATTTTTTTATATTTTTATATTGTTTTGATATATTAATATTACAAATATTATTTTAACATATTTTTAAATGGAAAACATTTTAATTCTATATTATTTATAGTAACCTTAACTTACAGGGTGATCGGATTTTTATTAATCCTATCATCATTTGTTAATTTGATTTAATCATATATATTAATATTTCTTATCAAATCATACCAATATTATGTATTGTCATATTTTCTTAAATCTTATAATGAAATAGTCCATATGCATTTTTTGATTTTTTTTTCTTAAATCTTAGAATTACTTGACTCAAATATACATACCCAAATCATTCATCTATTTTAGGTTATTTTATATATTGAAATTGAGAAATTAGCCTGCATAAAAAAATTTAAAAAATTATATATAAGATGTTTTATATTTTCATGCACATTCAAAAGAAATAATACTTAATGACTCGATTTTCTGAAAACAAAATACTACAAATTATATCCTATGATTTCATATTTTATTAAGTGAACTAAAACATATTGAAGATGAAAACAAAATAACCACTGTAAAACTAGGCAAGGTAAATAATGACCTCGTCCACATAATTGTGTTGATTATTGTCCTTGAATGTTTACTCTATAGCTCATGGCTAGATAACTCAGTGCATAAGTTATTCTACAAGAAACCTTCTAGAATAAGAATATGGCTTCTTTTTTTTAGGATTGATGTACACTTGCCGGAGAACAGATAATTGCATAGATTGTTGCCAAGAAAAAGATTAAGTTTCTTAACCTAATGATCAGGAATGATCTCTAACAATCATGTAATGGATAGTGGAAATAGTAGACTTTATATTGTTAAACAAATAGATGATATAATATTAAAGTTTGAAACCCCTTTTCCATGTACATATATAAATATACAATAATGTTTGATGTGGATCAATACATAACATAGCCTCCAACACCAAAAGATCCATTGAAAGTGTCAATTGGATCAATTACATGATCAAGGATAAGGAAGCTCAATGATGCATTTAATGAGTTTACTTGGAGTATTTAGACCGAAAAAAATTCAAGAAGATAACAAGAAATAATAAGACCTTAATTAATTTAATATATATGCAAGAGAGGTTTGATCTATCTATAACCCTAATTATTTGCAATGGTGGGCTATCCAAATGGAATTTATGGTAACCTTGATTAATTAAGCATTTTCATGTGCTTTATTGATTCTATATTAGCTTAGAAGTCCTTATTATGTGTGAAAATATTTTTAGCAATAAAAGAGTTCATATTATATTAGTTTGACAACACATCTATTATGAAAATAAAGTTAACAAGGAGTCCATATCCAAGAAGAAAACTAAAGGTCAATAGCTAGCCTATTTGGAAATGTTTTCTTATCATTTAAGGATATTAAAGGAGGATTTGGGCTTATTTTTCATAATACATTGTTTTATGATAACGAGCGTAACTTTCAAGCCGACTATTAAATTATACTGGAGGTTTAACAAAAGATTCCAAAGGTTGAAGCACACTTTGTCGCAAATTACAATCGATAGAACAATCCATACAGTGCTATATACAATCTTGGGTGAGAAATCACTCTAATTTTGTATGGAATAATTAAAATGTAATGAAGCCTCCATCTATGTCGTAATCAAGTAAGCCACAAAAAGAATAATCATTGAAAGAAGCAATGGCACACTTGGCAAATGACACCAACTAATTCATAATAAAGACTAAGACTAATTTTCACAATTAAACAGCTTCAATATAGAATTTAGAGGTTCAAGTCAATTAGCTGACCAACATGCTCATAGGGAGACAATGGGGTAATCTTCCTAAAACCACCAAAATGAATCCAAAGGAGCAGTGGAAGGTGATAACACTAAGGAGTAG